ATATATTTATAAAATATATAAGTGGGCCCCACCACTTTCCACTTAAATACTACATATTATATATTATTAATTACTCTACTATACTATAAATCACTACTAATATCCAATATATTTATCAAACTATATAAGTGGGCCCCACCATCTTCCACTTAAATATTACATATTATATATTAATTACAATACTATAAATGACTTAAATACTCCATATTATCTATTACAATAATTAACAATTATTTGACACTTTAAATTCTATCAATGCCATATAAATTAGGATAAAAAACCTAACATATAATATTTAAATATATTTAAAAATAATATAAGTAATATTATACATTACAATAATTAATAGCTTAATTATTTAAAACTTATATAAAAAATTTAATTGACTCTCTAAATTCTATTGGTACCACATAAAATGGATTATATAATAAACATATATTGTTTGAAATTGACGAAAAAGAAACAATAAATTACAATAATTAATAAAAAAATAGTCCACTCCAAAAAAATTTATCAATTAACAACTTATATTGTTTGAAATTGACGAAAAAGAAACTATAAATTACAATAATTAACAAAATAAATCTCTCGACTCCAACAAATCTATTAATTAATGCCACATAAATTGGGACATGGCAAATAACATATATTATTAAAAAATTAGGTTCAAAATGTACTAAAAAAATACAATAATTAACAACTTAATATATTAAAGAGACATAAAAAAGGGTTAATATTTGAAATTCTGCATCTGCCACATAAATTAGAACAAAGAGAGTAATAAATATTATTTTCAAAATTATGTTAAAAAAAAGTACTACAAATCACAATAGCTAACAATTTAAAATATTTTTAAAATCATATAAAATCAATAACTTCTCAAATTCCATAATATGACATAAATTAAAAAAAAATGTTATAAATCATAATAAATAGTACAATATTTAAACTACTTTAAAAGTATTATAAATTGTAATAAATAATACAACAATTTAAATTACTTAAAATTTAACGACTTAAATTTTTTTTTTAAATGTATTAAAATTTTGGTTAATTGTCAAAACTTTACATGTGCCACATAAATTGGGACATGGACAGTCACACATATTTTTTTAAAAAAATTACATTAAAAGTATTCTATCAATTAACAACATATATTGTTTGAAATTGACGAAAAAGAAACTATAAATTACAATAATTAACAAAATAAATCTCTCGACTCCAACAAATCTATCAATTAATGCCACATAAATTGGGACATGGCAAATAACATATATTATTGAAAAATTAGGTTCAAAATGTACTATAAAATACAATAATTAACAACTTAATATATTAAAGAGACATATAAAAAATGGTTAATATTTGAAATTCTGCCTGTGCCACATAAATTAGAACAAACAGAGTAATAAATATTATTTTCAAAATTATGTAAAAAAAAAAGTACTACAAATCACAATAGCTAACAATTTAAAATATTTTTAAAATCATATAAAAATTTCAATAACTTCTCAAATTCCATAATATAACACTTAAATACTACATATTATATATTAATTACTATACTATAAATGACTTAAATACTCCATATTATCTATTACAATAATTAACAATTATTTGACACTTTAAATTCTATCAATGCCATATAAATTAGGATAAAAAACCTAACATATAATATTTAAATATATTTAAAAATAATATAAGTAATACTATACATTACAATAATTAACAGCTTAATTATTTAAAACTTATATAAAAAATTTAATTGACTCTCTAAATTATATTGGTACCACATAAAATGGATTATATGATAAACATATATTGTTTGAAATTGACGAAAAAGAAACAATAAATTACAATAATTAATAAAAAAAATAGTCGACGAAATTGACGAAAAACAAATTATAAATTACAATAATTAACAAAATAAATCTCTCGACTCCAACAAATCTATCAATTAATGCCACATAAATTGGGACATGGCAAATAACATATATTATTAAAAAATTAGGTTCAAAATGTACTATAAAATACAATAATTAACAACTTAATATATTAAAGAGACATATAAAAAAGGGTTAATATTTGAAATTCTACGTGTGCCACATAAATTAGAACAAACAGAGTAATAAATATTATTTTCAAAATTATGTTAAAAAAAAGTACTACAAATCACAATAGCTAAAAATTTAAAATATTTTTAAAATCATATAAAAATTTCAATAACTTCTCAAATTCCATAATATGACATAAATTAAAATAAAAAAATAATATATATTGAGCCCCGTGCTGACACGGGGTCCTATATCTAGTATTAAAAAGAAATCTCAACAAATAAATTGGGTATCAAAGATCATATGAATGAATATTGTGGTAAAAGTTACTAAGTAGTATACATTTTATGAAAGAAGAGAAGTGAAAATTAGAAGAGGAAAACATACTACTTTACCGATTGAATTGAAAGAGAAGACACTACTGAGATAGCACTGAAGAGGAAGAGAGAAGGTCACTTTATTTAGAAAAATTCTTTTGTAAATGATAGAAAGCCACCTAGGTAGGTAGGTAGATACTCCCTCTGTCCACAATTGTTTGTCAGGGTAAGGTCATGCACATCCCTCAAGGAAAATTTAATACAACGTGTAATTTGACTAATATAACCCTACTATATCAAGAATACCAAAAGTTCACATAACTTTTCAATTGAACTACACAATCATTAAGGGCAGAATTGGAAAAAAGTGACTAATTATTTCTTGATTGTTTAAATCGACAATTAATCTTGGACATCTATTTTTAGTATACCTGTCAAACAATTGTGGACGGAGGGAGTATTATTTAGATTAAAAAGACTCTTTTACCCTTGGGATGGAACTAATCCCACTTACTATATATATATATATTTCATAAACTGTTTTTTCAATTATCTAAAATAATAATAATAATAATAATGAATTCCACAACCCCATTTCATTTTCTCTCATTTATAGCCATGTTCTTATGTTTGGTGCACTCTGTGGTTATATCTCCATCATATAATTATATGTCATATTCTCTTACTCAATAATATAATATGTTTGGCCAAGATTAAAATATATATAGACAATTTTATTCCTATCCTTTTCTTGTAAGACAAAAGACTATTTACAAGAAAAACATCATATCCTCTTACTCAATAATAACAACATATTTGATGTAATTCGATAAGTGAAGTCCGAAGAAAATAGAGTATATACAAATTCTTTACCCCCTATCTTATCCTGCATTTTTCAATAGATCACCAATCGGCTCAAGAAAAAATATTATATTCTCTTACAAAATTTAATAATTCACTTAAAGAGTATATTTTTTTTTTGGAATATTTTTGTTCGCGAGGAGATGGATGAGAAAAAACACTCATATCTAATTCTATAGCAGAGGGGAAATTCAGAAGCAACTATCAACTATATAAATAATAATCTCAAAAGAATCAGATCCTAAAAATGACGACGAAATATATAATTTATACAAATCTCTTCATTTCTCAATCGATCTGATTTATTCGTTGATAGAGTTATTTGGGTCTAAAGTGTGATTCTAGAAAAATCCTTTTGTAATGTGCGGATGATAGAAAACCACATAGGTAGATATTATATAGATTAAAAAGACTCTTTTACCCTTGGTCGTCTCTTAACTTCGCTTTTCTATATAGTAGTAATATATGTATGTATGTACTCGTTAAAAAATATCTACAATCGAATTTATTATTTTGTTGATTGGTTGAGAAAAAAAGGCAAATAATATTTGAAGAAAAGACATAATTTTGGTCTTAATAAAATGTAAAACGAGATTATCTTGTCATTGAGTCAAGGAGATAATCCAAATCTTATCTTACATAACAAATATGGTAATTAAAATCAATTTATCAATAATAAAAAATTAGTTGATTATTAGTACTAACTATTCAACAAATCTTATTTTTATTAATACAAGCCATATTCGATACAATTGTATCCTCCAGTATCACTATCGAAAAATCCAGTATAATAGAATGATTGTGGATGCTCATATTCAAAAAATTCCACAATATATAACCTTGACTAGAGTTTTTAGACACGAAGCTTCACAATTAGAGATCAATCGATAAGAAGATTTTATATATTTAATAAACTATAATTTACGCGAAAACCATCCTTATTAGTCGAGCTAGAAAATTTCAAAAATCGAAAACCTAAGTAATATATATATATATTTTTAAAAAAGACCTCTAGTGTCCACTATTCTTAATTCTTATTCACAACACACCTGACAATACAAAATTGACCCCTTGTACAAAGAATCACCATACAATATAGTTGGCCATGAAAAATAGATAATAATAAAAAAATGAAGCATCATAAATTGTTTTTCAAGTATCTAAAAATAATAATAATTAATTCCACAACCCCATTTCATTTTCTCTCATTTATAGCCATGTTCTTATGTTTGGTGCACTCTGTGGTTATATTTCCGTCAAATAATTATATGTTTGGTGCACTCTGTCGTTATATTTCCGTCAAATAATTATATGTCATATTCTCTTACTCAATCATATAATAAATTCGGTGTAACTTTACGAGTGAAGTGCTGAAGAAGATAAAAATATATATAGACAATTTTATTCTTATCTTGTTATCAGAGAAAAAATTATTTTTAATATTTCATCGATCGGTACAAGAAAAACATCATATCCTCTTACATAATAATAACAATATATTTGATGTAATTCGATAAGTGAAGTCCAAAGAAGATAGAATATATATAAATTATTTACCCCTATCTTGTCATGTATTTTTCAATAGATCATCGATCGGCTCAAGCAAAAATATCATATCCTCTTACAACATTTAATAATTCACTTGAAGAATATTTTTGTTCACGGGGAGATGGAGGAGAAAAAACTCTCACGTCCAATTCTATAGCAGAGATGAAATTCAGAAACAACTGTCAACTATATACTTAATAACCTCAAAAGAATTAGATCCTAAAATGACAACAAAATATATAATTTATACAAATCTATTCATTTTGTCAATCAATTTGATTCATTCGTTCATAGAGTTATTTACTCAATCACAAATTTATTCAGAGTATCTCTTTATTATAAGTTTCACATAAATGCCAAGTTGGCATTCCTAATACATCATCAATTATTTTCTCATGCCAACCATTTTTCATTTCTTTGTTCAATCTTCTAACAAATCCTTCTTTTTTCCCCTCACAATAACTCAATAACTTTACTATAGTCCTTTTATCCTTGCTCTTCCAACAACTCCTGTTTAATTTCACTGACTTGACTGATTCAAATTCATACGTAACACGTCTAGATAAACTAGCCAAACTGGTAATATACTCAGTCATGCCATTTACAAGACTAGACGGGGCATTACCTTGACCATCCCATAGCCATATACGCGCCATACCTTTTTGCAACGCCAAAAACATGTCACGCTTATAATTAAGACCTTCCAAAATTGAAGGACTTATATATACAACAAACACATCCTTGTCATCTCGAGACGACTTAACAATGACTGGACTAGTCAAATTCCGACTAGATAGTTGAAGGATGACGTGTTTGACTTGCTTCTTGATTCCTGGTTGACCAGAATCTTGACGATCACTGATAGGGTAAAGAATATTTTCAACGAATTTACTAGTCCTCAGGACTAAACGTGTGGCTTCATCGTTTGACACGTAAAAGAGATCGAAACGCTTATTTGCAAATGTACCCTCAATGGCTTCATTGACAATAGTTATGGAAAAACCTTTGGAAACTTCATAATTTGCCCATAAGGAGACTATTCCTACAAAAATGACCATAACAAGTCTAAGAATTATACTTGTATTTAATGAATAAGAGATGATTTTGTGGTCATTTTCATAAGAGTTTGTGTTGGTTGTTTGTATGAGAGGTTGAAGGAGATTTTGGTTTTTATTTTCTTCCATATATGGAGAGAAATAACAAAAAAAAGAAGATGCAATTATGAAAGATTAATTAATGTAGAAAGAACAAAGAAGTTAGAAAATAGTAGAAGAATAGAAGGGGATATTTTATTTTACATATATATAGGACACAATGATTGGCTACTGAAGCTAATAGGTAAAGGGTCCCTTTTATCAACTTCATTTAAATATATTCTACTTTTTGGATATAAATTAGGGTTAGGAGTTTAACTTTTTTCATACATTGATGGTGCAAAAATGAAATCCGAGTCTAAAGCTCTTTCGAAAACAATTTCTTTCTATTCAGACTATAGAGATGAGATCTATATATATTTATCATTTTCAGATCTCATTGGGTATATTATTTTTGTTTTACCGATGGTGCGGGAAAAAAATATACGACTATTTTAGATCATGTAAAAATAAATAAAAGTAATCATTCATAATAAGTGGAGTTAAGTAATAATTTGAAAAATAAGATATGTTATGTCGTAACATGCTAAAATGTAGTAGAAATTAATTTGTAAGAGTGAGTGAATTGGTGCAACAAATGATATTTCATAAGAGATGCCAAAGATTAATTTTTCATGTCAACGCATTCTTAATCAAGCTCGTCACCTCAAACTTATCTAATAGATTATATATAGGATATAATTTGTAAGCTATTACAAAAATCGAATTTATCTCACAAAAGGTTACTTACATGATAGAACAATAATTGAATAACACCATTATGACATTTAATTATTTAAATACTAACAAGACATTGGTGAGTTGTGTCATGTCGACATGTTCAATTTTTTTTTCATTCATTTAATTTATACTTATCTATGTAATTTTGATTGATATTATAAAATGTATTTTTTAATTGTTTGTTTGATAATTGTGTCAAACTAATCTTGAATGACAACTTAACAAATGTTGAATAATATGAGTTTTTTTTTCATTTTTAATTAAAGGTTTCGAATTTCGAAAAATTATTTATGTGAGAATAAAGACATTCAAGGTAGGTAGCATTTTTCTCTTTATGAATCATGCATGACGTGAATTTAAATTTAATAAGAGTACTTATTTTCCGCATACTAGATATTTATAAAAATTGAAACCAAGTAAGACATTTAAATTAATGTGTATGTGGCGCATCTACAAATTTTTATTCATTCCAAGTAGCTTGAACTTGAACGCGAGACATCTAATTAAGAGCAGAGGAATCTCATCTCATTACAACACATCAATAAATTATAATATTATTTAACGAGGAAACTCAAATGATTTTTTAAAAATATATATAGTAGTATAATATTATATTTTGCTACTGATCATGTTCCCGATCGAATTTTTTTCAACATATTTATATTCCTTTTCTTAATGTTAAGTAAAGTAATAAGTAATCACTAGGTGAATTTTAGCCCACGATGCATTAAAAATATCCAAAAAATTTTTTTAGAAGAGATTATAATAGCATGTAAATATTTTTATTTGTGATCGACAGTTGCTTGTTAGAGTGACTATGATAGTTTATTTATTAAATTTGAAAGATTTATTTTTAAAGACGACACTTTTATTAACAAAAGATTTTTTATTCTTAATAACTCAAACTCGATATCACTAGAAGAATTTCAATCATCCTTTCGTTACTTATGTTGATGCTTTATACTATGCTTGTCATTTCAATGAGTAATAGATCCTCGTGTCAGGTTTTGATCTCCAGATACATGTATCTGATGTATTCAAATATCTTGAATATATGAGGATTAAAATTTTGTTCCAAATAAACATATCTAAGTGGATTTTGCATGCATCTAGGGTACACATCTTTTCTCACTCATCTCTCTATATTCGTATTTCAGAATGAATTGTGATCTGCATGTGTCTGAGAAATACAAACTCTTTCACCCGCCACCCACCTAACTCAACCTTCTCAGTTCTCTCTCCTCTCTGTCTTTCTCCCTCTATCGTTTGCCTTTCTCTCTATGTGTGTATATTTTAGAGTGTGTTTAATAACAAAATTGTATGTATTTAAGTATATCTGACTTGTAATGTTATATGAAATTATTAATTAATGAGATAATATGTAATTATTTGAAACTATCGTGAGAGTGAGAATTAACAAATATAATAGGAATATTTATGTAATACAATAGTTTTTCCAGGTACATGAAAAAAATAAGTTGGAAAATAATAGAACTAGCATTATTTATACTTTGTTTGGATGGTTGTTATTTGTTGCATTAATATAATATTTGTTTTCATTGTTACTTAAATTATATTATATTATATTTTTGAATTTGCTAACGAGCAAAAAACTTATATTATATAAAAATCAATTTAGTATGACGACATGATTCTACTTTTCTATTAGATACATTGTGAAACAATACGTAACAATTTTGACAATTTGGCCATATGATACAAGAGAGAGAGGATTGGAAACATAGTTTCTCAGCGAGTATGTTGGAAGCATTTTAGGTTTTGATTGAACATCAAAGAAGCGTTTTTTCAAACACCCATTTCATATAAATTAGTACTAGAAATCTCTGGAGTTGAAGGGGCCAGTCGGTGGCTTATTACTGGTAAGTTTTCTTGAATCGTTTGTGTTTTACAAATGGAAATGAGCTCGAATTTGAGAAGAATGTGTGTTTATAGTTGATTTAATTGGGTGATTTTGAAAGAAATTTTCAATTTTAGTTCCGGGATTAAATACCCTTTTTTAGCAATTAGCATGAAGGGGATTGTAACCCTTTGTTACAATTTCCCATGTACCTGGTGCGTGTTGCTGGTGGAAGGTTGCAGGTGGTAGGTATTAGTTGGAATTAGTCGAGGAAAAAATGTCTTTTTTTCTCTCTAGGAAAATAGGTGTTGGCTTCACTTATTAGTGTTTGGCTATGTTGATCCTACTCTTCAATAGTAATGTCGTATCCGTGTCCGATTCTCTAAAAAATAGTGTGTGTTTTTAGGATCTGACATACACCCGTCAGCATGTTTGAAGAGTTTGAGCAACATAGGTGTTTGGTTGGTGAATGGACAATATAGATGATGATATTGGATAGTGCTTGTAAGAGCTTTTGGAGTGACATTGTTGATAATAATATTTACCTGTTGGTCTGAGCAAAGCTCCTTGGGATTTGTTCTAGTGTTAAGGACACAACATGTCGAACTGTGCCCTAATGACTCTTCGGGATTTCTTGGTTATGAAAAAGGAGTGTTGGTTGGAAAATGTGATATGAAGTAAGAATTGGACAGTGTTAAGGAAGATGACTTCCTCAAACATCAAAATGACTTTTTGTTTTTTTTTGTTTTCCCTAGAAAATGACTTCTTCACCGAAAACTTCCTGTCATACCAAACGCACGTCAGTCGTTCTATTCTCTGTTCTGTCCTTTGATCTTGACAATGCCTTGTTGCATATATCTCTAAGATTGTAACTTTAACTGTTTGATGCACGATATGCTTCCAAGTGTACCATTTCAGAGGATTTCTGGCTGAACTGTTATTCATGAGCATCACTGTCTGACTGTTAACGTGCAAATTATGTAACTTTGGTGAATTTGTTCCGATTCGTACTTACTCAATCTGGCCTATGATGCAAAGATGATTCCACATGTTGATATGATTTACCTGCTGAATATTCTGTCTTCTTCTAATTATGATTATTCTGGTATTGATTTTTTCATATTTCCTGACAATCATCAAGATTGTTGATGAATTAATTAGTTTGTGAAGTTTTGTGCATAGCTTCTACCATAAGTGCTGGTGAATATACCTCACTGAATATGATACACCCTTCTGTTTAGGCTTATTACAAACAAGAATTACCATGATTTGCGGCTGTTCTTGTCATCGCGAATGATACTTGGGAAAGATGGGAGCTTTTATAAGTTCATTAGTAGTAGTTTTTATTGAAATGAAGTAGCAGATCTTGGTAGTACAGTCTCTGATGTTCCTATCAGTGACATTAGTTCCTTTGGATTTTAATGTATCGTTAGTCGCTATTGAAGTGGTAGATTTATAAGTGGGTATGCAGTTTTTGTCTTTCCTACCAGCAGCATTGGTTCCTTTGGTACTAGTAATTCCTTTAGTTTTCTGACATAATTATACAACCTTTTGTTTTGCTCATAACAATTGGACAACAACCCAAATTATTTGTTAAATGGTTTCATGAGATTATAGTACAGATCTGACCTGGTCTTGGCAAAATGTTTACATTCACAATCCTCAGATAATACCACTTCCCCGTGATTCTTGATTTGTTGTCTTCCTTCATCTTGCAACTTTTTCAACAAACTTGGGTCCATCAATTGCTGATATTTCAGGAATGCTGGCTAAGTTGAATCGGGAAAAGGGAAAGTGGCATGAGTAGTGTAACTCATGAGAGTGCAAAAATGAACAATGGTACGAAGAACCGAGAGAATCATAAACAGCAACTGTCCAGAGATGTCATGCTGGGTAGTGAGCTATGGACAGATGGCCTGCTTTGTGCCTTTGAATTTGTCCGTGGCCAACGGAAGACAAATGGCGCAAGAGCTACTGAACATTATGCTGCCAGGGAACCTAAAAAACCACCATTATATAAATATGGTGCAAGTAATGTCTCACCCCAAGATGTTGACAAAGATCACTTTATAGAACCTCATTATACAACAGAATCTGCGTATGTTGACATCGAGAACGCAGATGGCCAAAGTTATCAACAAGACTATCCTTATCAGTCCCAAGAAAGGTCTCCTGGTAATTACTGGATACCAATAGGCTGGTCTAGAATATCTGAGCTGCTTCAAACAGTGCATATTGATAGTGGTTGGGCCTCTCAGCCTGTTGATCTCAGTGATGAGGAAGATGATGTGACTGTAGCAGATGTTGCAGCTCCATACTGGCAAAGTCCAGTTGGACCAACTTGGTGGTGTCATGTAGCTGCAGGTCACCCTTCCATCAATGCATGGTTGAGCAATGCTCAGTGGCTACATCCTGCCATAAGTATTGCCTTGCGAGATGAAAGCAAGCTGATCAGTGAACGCATGAAGCACCTTCTTTATGAGGTACTTGCCTTCTATAAGTTCAGACTCAAGCAATCCGTACTGCTATAACAACTTTGGGAAGACTGAACCTTCTTTTTCCTCCTAATAGCATCAGGATCTCTAACCTATTGTATAACCTACCTGGATTGTGATAGTTTCCTTTCTTTTATTTTTTAGGATGTACAAGTTTATAAGGATCTAAGAATAGGCTATTGTTCCTGAAAATGACCTAAAGAATGGTTGACTCTTGATAATTGTGAAAAGCTTGGACAAAAGAGATGCAAGTATCATGTTTTCGTTTTTTTTTTTTTCTCAAAAAAAATAATTTATTTGCCTCACCAACTACCTACTTCTTTGCACCTTCTAGAAGTTTCTTAAGAGGAGCAGCAAAAGATTCTAGATATTTCTTCCTGAGATTGCAAAAAGGAGAGAAGGGGTCGAATGAGTACAGGCTGTAAATTGAACTTTCTTGCTAAATGGTATGCTTAAGGTTCGGAAAACCAATTTTGGTAGAAGAACATTGAGGTTGCAGTTTTTCTTTTAACTTGGTGACTGGTCATTTGATCTTGTTAAACTGTTTTCTCTCTCCAGTTTGACATGAGTTACTTAGTTGTTACTTATCTCGCACAAAACCATTTAGAGACAGTGGCTTTATCAACTTATATAGGATCTTCCCACAAATATCTATAAGGAAATGGGAGGAAAATCAAACTATGGGAGACTGCATTTGCTTTTACTAAACGTTTGTTCTAATTTTTATGCATGCCCTTAGTTGAGGTCTAGATCTAAATTTGGACCTGAAAAATCTGGTAGGCTACAACAATTCCTCTGCAGAGCGTCATGGATCATCTGTAAAAGGAAAACGAATATTTCATAACATGAAGGTGTGACAATTCATCAAAAGATTTAACATTATAGAATTGTCTCTTAACTACAATGGTAGTTATATTTCTGTGTGAAAACTATGTCCACAAATTTGAGCTTGTATAACCTTCACTTCTTGTTGCTTTTGGTGAAGGTGCCGGTTAGAGTTGCTGGTGGATTACTATTTGAGCTCTTGGGGCAGTCAGTTGGTGATCCTTATGTTGAAGAAGATGATATCCCAGCTGTTATACGGTCGTGGCAATCACAAAATTTCTTGTTAACTGCATTGCATGTTAAAGGATCTGCATCAAATATCAATGTTATAGGTATTGCGGAAGTCCAGGTTTGTCAATGATCATGTATAAATCTATCCTGCTGTCTATGTTGCATTTGACATTACTAGAGACAGAGGAATAAAAACCTTGAGGCTTGGACATTTTATTGATCTCACAGTTTAATGATGTGTTCATAGGAACTACTTGCTGCGGGCTCTTCAAATGTTCCGCGAACAATTCATGAGGTAGTAGCACTCCTAGCTTGTCGCCTGGCCCGGTGGGATGACAGGTGTCAATTTTCCCTTGTTTCATTCAACCCACTTCTTTTCGGATCTAGGAGACAAAGGAATGCATGCTTATTATCTCATAATTTGACTAATCTTTTGAATTCATCCTCCTTGTTGGTTTGTAAGCCCTTTTGCACATATCTTCTTGTTTCCAACAATTCACCTTTAACATTTTTTCCATCTCAAGGAATTGATGCATTTTCTTGTTTTTTTTCTTTCATTAGACCGTATCAATTATACTAAACTTCATCAGTAAATATGAGTTGTCTTGAGTAAATAGAAGTTGACCAAGATGTGAACTTAGTGCTTTGGATGGAAATAGGTTCTACCATCCGAGCAATCGTATTCATACCATAACCTTAAGGAATACTTGTGTAATTTGTAGGTGGGCTTCTTTAACGCACTGCTAAACATGGATAATTCTTTTTTCCTTTTTCTTGTTAAAATGTATTAAGCTATTGTGAAAATGTTGTTCTTTTGCTTTCTGTTCCACCAGACTCCTGTCTTTGATCAATCTTTACAGTTCAGACTACTTTACTTCGTCAGAAGTTGCAACTTTGATTGTTAGTTTCCAATTGCTCAATATGCCGTGAGCATGATAGAAATTTATTTACTTCTGATAGCTTTTGATCTGTCATTTATGTTGCACGGCTTAGTTCATCTATAATTTTTGTCACTATGGATCAATGTCGCTTGGTATTCTGATTGTGAATTCAACTAATACACAAACTTTTAGGTTATATCGGAAGTATATTTTTGGGGCAGCTGATGAAGCTGAACTGAAGTTCATGAACAGGTTTTTCCACTTATGATTATAAACTGCTCTTGCGCTGCAATCGAAATTGTGCTGCCTTTGGTTTAGTTAATGGCATCTATTATAAACATATGAACTATCCCTGTTGGACAGGAGAACCCATGAAGATGTGCAGTTGTTCAGTGTAATTTTGAATCAAGAGATTAGAAGGCTGTCGACACAGGTACCTTTGCTTTCATCGTTGCAGGAAATTGATCCCTCAAAGCATGAAAACATGCTTAATCCAGTCGATGCCAATGCCAATGAGAAAAAAGAGAAATGTAGGAAAGCAACTAATTATCCATGAACTTCCTTTCATCATTGAGAGGATTTTGTATTTCAGCCTGTGTGTTTAAAAGCATGTTGTGTGTCGGAGTTGAACCATTCATCATTCTCTATCTTTTTTCTGCAAGGTTATACGGGTAAAGTGGTCTTTACATGCAAGAGAAGAGATTGTATTCGAGCTTCTCCAACATCTTAGGGGGAATGCTGCAAGGAATTTGCTTCAAGGAATACTAAAAAGTACAAGACAAATGATTGGAGAACAAGAAGCGGTTCGTGGCCGCTTATTTACAATTCAAGATGTCATGCAGAGTACTGTCCGTGCATGGTTACAGGTACCATAAGTCTATTCACATATGATACATTTACTAGTCTATTTCTACAACTAGTAAATGCGCTTGGCAGTAACTTCTGTGTAATCCTGTTGAGCTTTTACTCTGAAATTCTTTTACTTCAGGATCGGAGCCTTCGAGTCCAACATAATCTAGGGGTATTCGGGGGTTGTGGACTTGTTCTTTCTATTATCACGGGGCTATTTGGGATAAATGTGGACGGAATTCCTGGAAACGAGGGATCCCCGTATGCATTTGCCTTCTTCTCTCTCGCCCTTGTCTTGCTAGGAGCTGGGTTGATTGCTATCGGATTGATCTATCTCGGATTGAATAAACCATTCGCCGAGGAGAAAGTCGAGGTGAGGAAACTAGAGTTACAAGAACTCGTGAAGATGTTCCAGCACGAGGCTGAATCGCACGTGCAAGTCCGAAAGGATGCTTCAGAAGCCAAGAAGTCAGTTGATTCTGCAGGTATAATAACAGATGGAGACAAATATGTTGTCATTAGTTGATCAAAACATAGAAATGCCAAGTCTTCCTACACTGCATCGCGATGAGAATCGGAAAATTTTGTCTATCTTGTCACAACTGGTAGAGAAGGAAGAAAAAAAGTAACATAACTTCTAATAACTGCATAGATAGAATACTTCTGCTGCTTCATAAGTTGAATTTACAGGGGGCATTGTTCTTTATTCTCCTTGTTCTGCTTACATGATAAAAAGCAGAAAGCGCCTAATTCCAAATACAGTTGAGCTCTTAGATTTTGTATGTGAATTTCAATGGATTCGTCGACATGGTTACATATGTGATATGTTCTTGGTAGTCGAGGCAATGGGAAAACAATCGCGAATAGTCACTTTTCAGCTCTTGTAATTGAATAATAGTCATTGTCGCGGAGTTTGAAATTCTACCTGTGAAACTTCAAGATATTGGTTATCTCAGAAAAGTGGTCAGTGGAAACTGTTTCTACTTTAGGCAATTGCTTCAAACAAGATTAATATCTTGGAGTGTCACTGATGGTATTTGAAATTCCAGGACAGTGGTTGTTTTTCAAAGATGGGTCGAAAAGTGACCAATGAACGTTATTTCTCATCGAGCCAGTTGTGAGAGTAACATCAGTTACAACTAATGGAGATTATGCCTTTTCCATATTTGTGGAAGGTGTTGTGCAATAACTTGGCTATCATTTCTTTTTCTTCGATAACCTTGCAGCTGGCGTGTACATCAACTATTTCACTAGTTATTTGCTACTTTTCATTTAGTACAAGTAATTCAACTAAGGCTTAGACATATAGAAAGAAATCATAAAACAATTGTCTTTAAACCTTGGCTTCATTGATCATTAGGTAACACCCTTGGGTGCATAAATTGGCTACTAGTAAGCACACTGGGATGTAAGGATAACAAAAAAATATTGCAAATAAAGTTACCATATGCTAACTGCAAGAATTTAAATAAGTACAGGATACAGAATCAGTAAAAGATTAACAAAATTAAGAATATACCAGTCTGCAGAATATAAAGATTATTCAGTAGAGGGTATACAAAAACTTTCAGTATCTTAAACAAATAAAAGAAGCTTGTGTAGGATCTTCAGCAACTGGGATTGGACACAGCAGCAGCTACATCATGCGCGTTTGCTCATTTACAAAAACCAACGAGATGAAACATGATCAGTGAAGATTCATATAGTCGACCCCAACTTGTTCGGGACTGAAGCATAGTTGTTTTATATAGTTTTCTCAGAGTACAGAGATCAACAACATCATACCCAATGTAATCCCACAAGTGGGATCTGGTAGTGTGGACACAGACCTTACCCCTACCTTGGAAGGTAGAGAGGTTGTTTCCGATAGACCCTCGGCTCAAGGAAACAGTACAATGATCGTGCTAAGTAATGTTCTACTGCTGCGGTAAATGAGAGTACGTCATATCCAAGCTCAAGAAGATGAGGGAAATAAGAAAAGATGACATCTAGTAAATCAGCAATCAGTGTGATATCTTGCATATCAGCAACTGTTGAAAACTTTAGTACTGGCAGACCCCGCAGATGAATGGTCGATGACAAGTTAATTACTCAGGAAGACAAACTGGGGAAAATCATGAACAACATAAGTAGAGTAACCAACAACAACATACCAGTGTAATCCCACAAGTGGACAACATAAGCAACAGCAACCAACTGACATTATGCTTAAAAACAAAATAGGTGATAGACAAGATGCATCAGGGGGGAAATAGAGAGCCTTAGCTTTTAAGAGATAAATGCATCTTCTGATGCTCTTCACTGTGGAGATAGAAAAGAAATGCCAACAAGACATTGAATTCAAGAATCAAAGACTGTCGGGATTTGGTTATCAGATGAAACTTTGTAAAAAAACAGCTATAAAATTGAACCACCTGACAGATCAAGTAGTGACGCAGAAAGGATACTGGAGATATGATTGCTTGAATGTACAATTGAAAAAGGGAGATTTGACAAGAGTTGGTAGAGTGTAGAAATATATTACAAAAGAATATGATGAATTTTATATCCACCGGTGAAAATGGGTTGTGATGTTCTCCTCTTGTTCACAAAGCATATACCTTATTATCTTACAGCAACTTGATTCTCTGAGAGAGTGCTTAGGATCTTAGTGAAGTCCAACCACCAACAGGAACCACAAAGAAATGAACTTTTGCCTTAACATCAGCCACTGCAAGAATTGCATATAGTGCTAAAAAACTTCAATGTACACCGGCTTTTTTCTGCACTATGCTTTCAATTCTACAAACCAATTCAAATTTTGTGTCAGATATGTTCCTACAAAACCACTGAAAAAGTGGGCAATGAGAAGTAAAAGCTCATTTGCATCTGGATACGATTATACATACCTCCCTCTAAGCTGATGAACACCCTCGAGAACGTCCAGTGCTTGCTGTACCTTTGAGTTTTCTAGTTTATCTTTGTTTTCAAGTATTAAGGATGAAAATCTCAAAAAGGTGACAAGTTCTACTTCAATATCTCTTAGTTGTTGGTCTATATGCTCCAAAAACTCCTCGTATGAAGATACCCCCTTTAAACTATTGATCCTGTCGGCTTCCTTGGACATGTTCCCACTTGTTGATGCCTCGAGATTTATCAATTCATTATCAGTTTTAAGGTCTGCATTACCATCATAGGGAGCTTGCAATTCTTGACTATCATCTAATTTTATAGTTTCCAGGTCAACATCTTCATTTTCATCTGAATTGTCTGCATTATCATCCTTTGGAGATACTATTCGGACGGGACTTGGAGCATCATCTATAGCAATCTCAAGATCTAAAGCAACATTTCCAATCAACTGCTTCTCCCGCATAGATATCGCCTGAAAATAGAAGACATCGTGAAAAAAGAGCAAAAATATACACTCCATCTGTTTCAATTTGTTCGTCTTACTTTCCTTTTTAGTCCGTTTAAAAAAATGTCTCTTTCCTTTTTTGGTAATTCATTAGTCTCAACCATCTCCCTTATTTAATTTCCTTGATCAACCACAATAAGGATGCAAATCTCCCTTGTTTTCTAATCCTTAATCAACCACATAAAAATGTAATATTATTTTTTGTATCTAAAATGTTTTGTTATTTTTCCAAATTTTTGCAGGTGAAGGAAATTTTAGACTCAATTGGACACCAAAACGGAAACTACCAGTCTAGGTTGTTGGGGACTTATGATTAGTATTACCTCTGATTAGTTAAGTAAGGATAGCAATCCTCATACCCACCCTACACAAGACTATAGCATAACAAGAATTTAGAACTTATCCCTTTAGTTTCGAAGCACGTCTTCAAGAAGACAGTAAAATAAGAAAAACAAGAAGCTGCTCCCTTCAGTCACAAATCACAACAGAGTAGGTAGCCTAAAAAATTATTGTTTTACACAGAACTGCCCAATTATTCAACTCTGCGCGTAATGTGATCAGAAGTATCATCTTCTATGTACAGATGTCATTTGATTTGCCAACATCCAGTAAACTAAAGAAATACCCCTCTCTGAAAAATTAATGAATAATTCTCATTTGACTACTCAGTGGAGCCGTTACAGGAGTTGAATTTGTGTACTTAAAAGAACAAGCAATGTCTGTAGTCAATGATCGCATATCACCAGAAAAGAATCAAAGACATGGAGAATTAAGACATCCTGTCAAGTCTCGGGGCGGTTTCTTTTTTATGACAACTCAATACCATAAGACCATTTTAATTGAAACAACCGTATCAGCGTAACACTTTATCGTATCGGATGTTTGAGCAACAACATTGAACAGATATAAGCACCCAGTAAGGTTCTAGAACAAAATCTTTAAATCCTTTCACATGAGGAAAGAAGCAAAACCACAGAAAGGAATGCTTCCACAAACAACCAGCTTCAAGTTCTCCTTGAGGCACCGTGTTGAGTAGAGATTTGAATCGATGAAGTTTGGTGATGATATTAATTTAGTTTTGATAAGTTCCAATAAGATTTTAGATCTTGAATACCATAACAACTTCCTCAGCTGAAGAAAAGCAACCACCCAATCGAGAAAACTAAAAGATATCCAACCATACCTCATTGAGCTTTGATGCAAGTTCATCGAGCAATTCAATGCGACCCTTTGACTGCTCCATGGCTTGCATAATCTTCTTCTTTTGAAAAAGCAACTCCCTGGCGTCATTCTCCTTTCCTGTTCGAACACTAATGGCTGCTTGTCGCCGAAATCTCTCTGCTGCTTCAGACAACCGAAGTAGCCTCGATCTTGCATTATTTGCTGAATAGCCAGGATTCTGATCAGTGAGGACTCAAACTGTTCAATAAATATTATGCTGTCCATAGAATAAATGAGCAAAATAACTAAGGAAACAGAAACAGAGACACACATACATTATTGGATAAAAGTGATCCAAGATGAAATTGCAAAACGTAAAGGCAAATTGTCCAAGTTCATGAAATCTCGCATGTAAATCCTCAAATAAGTAATTTGCAAAACGTAAAGGAATATTCACACCCAGTAAAGGAGAAATCATTCAAAGGTACAAACTTCAACATCTTACACACCATGTTTGTAAAATCTCACATGTAAAGCCTCAGATTAGTAATATGCTAAAGATAAAATCAAATTCAAACAGAATTCACCACTAAATAATCAATCATAACGCATAAACCTCACAACATCTTACACACCGTGTTTGTAAGATCTCACACATAAATCCTCAAATAAGTAATCTGCAAAACATAAAGGCAAATTCAAACAGAACCCATCACTAAATTCAACACCCAATGAAGGAAAAACAATCAAAGTTACAAACTTTACAATAATTCATACACCAAGTTCGCGGAATCTCACATATAACAATAACAAAATACCTAGTGTAATCCCACCAAATAGGGTCTAGGGAGAGTAGAGTGTACCTCCACGAGGTGGAGGTAGAGGAGGTTGTTTCTCGGAATGTAAATTCAAACATAACCCACCACTTCATTCGACACCCAATAAAGGAGAAATCAATCAAAGATACAAACTTCACAACATCTTGTACACCAAGTTCGCAAAATCCCACATCTAAATCCTCATATAACAATAACAAAATACCTATTGTAATTGGTGGGTAGAGTGTACGCAGACCTTACCCCTACCTCGTGGAGGTAGAGAGGTTGTTTCTCGGAATGCAAATTCAACCATAACCCACCACTAAATTCCACACCCAATAAAGGAGAACTCAATCAAAGATACAAACTTCACAACATCTTATACACCAAGTTTGCAAAATCTCACGTCTAAATCCTCATATAACAATAGCAAAATATCCGGCGTAATTCCACAATACAGTCTTTGGGGAGGATACCTTACCCCTACCTCGTAAAAGTAGAGAGGTTGTTTCCGAAAGACAAATTCACACACAACCCACCACCAAATTCAACACCCAATAAAGAAAAATCAATCAAAGATACAAACTTCACAACAATTTACACACCAAGATCCCAAAATCTCACATATAAAATCCCCAAATAAGTAATTTTACATAAAAAAAGCCAAATCCAAACAGACCCATCAAAATTATGGAGACAAAAATGGAATAAAACCCATTTAAGATGAGAAAAATTAGACAATAAATTACCTTTATTTCTTGTGCTTTGTGCTTCCTTATGAAGATGGTCTAATTGTTCTCGCAGCTTCTCTGTATTTAAATTATTTGTACCAGAAGCAGCTAAATTTACCATTTTCTTCGGAATTTTCCATTGAACAAATCCAGAAAAAGCAGAATTCAGTATCATTTTTTTATCTTCTCTACTCTGTATCTTCACAAAGAGGGGAGCTGATGAAATGCAGAAAAAAAATTCTAATAACAATATTAATATAAATAGTACAAGAAATAAACAAAATTTTGCTTTTTCTTTTTTTTACTTCTCAAGTACTATTTCGGATGAACCTGCCCGTGCGTGATTTGAATTTAGTCTGACTCAATAAATTTAAACACTCGATGGGAAACCTAAAAAAAAAAAGGTTATATATTTGCTTAACTATTTAAATTATATTACATTCTTTAATTACATGTAAAGTGTCGAAAAATTATAAAATTTTAGGCATGTTTTGGTTAAGAGGTTGTTATATATAATTAGATGAGATTGATTATATAGTTTAGGGAAAAAAGATAAATATATCTCGAACTATAGTAAATGGTATGTAGATACCCTTTATCATACTTTTCGGACACTGGTGTCCCTGCCGTCCAAAAACTAGAGCACATATGTCAATCACTCTAACGGAAGACTAAATAGGACACATGGCGCAATCTTATTCGTCGATTCGATATTTAATAAATGTCGGGTCGGTGGATAAGATTATGATACGTTGTATGTCCGTTAGTATAAATGGTATATATGCTCTAATTTTTTTTACTGTAGAGACACCAATGTCCCAAAAGTATGACGAATGGTACATACCATTTACCATAGTTCGAGAATATATTTATCTTTTTCCCTATATTTTATGTGGTTGACAGACTATTTAATAGATATTTGAGAGTACTAAGTAAAAAGAATTCAAAAACATGAATTAAAAGTGTCGAAGAGTAATATATTTATTATATGTTCGAAAACTCAATTGAAAAATATTGTAGTTCAAGCGTTTAAAGAAGTCACATTGTCGAAGAGTAATATTTATTATATAACTCGAAGACAAAGTTATAATTTTTTTACCCAATTGAAATTGTTTGTTTTTTTCTTTTTTAAAAAAGTTACTTTTTAAAAGACAAGTTGGAGTCTTGAATTTTGAGTTTTAAAAAATCAATTAAATATATATAATTAAAAACTGATTAATAAAAAAGTATATATTTAATAATAATAATCTACAAATGTCAGCGCTACAATTAATCTCTAATTTTTAACTTTTAAATTATCAACCAATTAAATAGAATTAATTTAATTTTTTTATTAAAGAAAAAATGTTACTGTTTAAAAAAAAATTGAAATGGTTCCACAGATTTATACTCACAGTTACTCTGGAGAAAAAATTAAAAACAAATTAATGTCCAACGAAAAAAGAAATAAATAGTTAAAATATAAAAATGAAACTAGACAGCTATGTTTAGAAAGTAAACAAATATCTTGCAACTCTATAATATTTAGATTCATAGAAAATTAAATAAAAACTTAGAAGATAAAAAGATGGGAAAATGCATAAGTACCCCCAATCTATGCCCGAAATTTCAGAGACACACTTTTACTATATTAAGGTCCTATTACCCCCGAACTTATTTTATAAATAATTTTCTTTCCCTTTTCGACCTACGTGACACTATCTTTTGGGCCCAACGCGTGTTGACAATTTTTCAAGCTATCTGATTGATAGTGTCACGTAGGCCGAAAAGGGGTAGAAAACTATTTATAAAATAAGTTTGGGGGGTAATATGACCTTAATATAGTATAAGTGTGTCTCTAGAATTTCGGGCATAGGTTGGGGCTACTTATGCATTTTCCCTAAAAAGATTAATATCATTGGATCATGTACGAAATAATTTTAAAATTTTGAATAACATGCCTACAATTTGATATTCAAATGATTAAAACTTTTTAATTCTATGCTTAGTATCATCATAATCATAGAATTTTCTAAGTTATATTTTATTTTAATGTAACAATTAATTTTTGTTTTATCTGTACAATTCTTACAAGAGGATAATATGAATAGGATGAGAGTATTTATGATTTTGAATAATTTTACAAAAAAAAATATTATTGTTAAATTTAGAAAATGAACTAACCTTACATATTAATTTATTTACATAAATATTTTATGATAACATATCAAGGTGCTAAATGTTAACATTCTCTATAAAAAAAATAGGAGACATGTCATCACCAGAAATGTGATCAAATCTATATATAATAGGACAGATAAAAGTTAACATAATAGGAGGAAAAAAAGTGTCACTTGTCAGCATCACAAAAATCATCAAATTTTTAGCTTTTTAAAAAATATATATATTATATATAATAGGAGAGGCAAAAGTATCACATATCAACACTCCAAAAGTCGTTAAACTTTCGATTTTTGAAATGTATCTTTATCTATTTTTGAATTCAAGATGACAATTATATTTATATAAAATCAAATGTGGTAATGTGTTCAAACAATTAAATATTTTTAATAATTTCTGTGCAATGCTACTAGTTGAGTTTAATAGAAGGTGTTTGCTATATGACGCGTATTAGGTTGTATATTGGGCCGGAAACTCTATTTATGTTGGGCCTGCAAGTTGATTCAAGAAAGCTCAAGAACTTGAACTAGTTTAATTTTGATAAAGTTAAATTAGATTACTAAATCATTTACTATGATTTTTGGTCGATAAATCGAGGATATATCAAAAACCGTCTTTATGCTATAAACATAGTAGAAGATTTTGTTAGTTTTGTTGCAAAATGGAACTTGCCAAAGTGGGAGTTTTAGGGAAAAAATTACTTTGAGATTTTAAATTTATAGATTTTAACGAATAATGATAATACGATCTTTTATTTGCCATTGAACTTACAATCTATTTATGTTAATGAGTTGGTGTTTCTTGTATGTATGTATATATGTATTTGGTCAGTTTCATAGTACATATACAAAGTTTCAACAAAAAATATTAAATTCTTCCGAATTCGTAACATAAGTTAGGTTACACAACAATATATTTATTATAGATAACTAAATCTACATAGCTTTGTTTAACATGACGAAGAATGATAATTATGCATTTTTTAAGCATAGGAACATTATTAAAATGACTTTATTTCTTTTTCCCGAATTCTTATTCTACTAATAATGATAAAATTATTTAACTATTTGAGCAAATCTAAATTATTAGAATAATTTTATTTTATTCTTATTTCACGAAATATCCTTCTAGATTAGTTTCTTTATAACTTACTCAATTGATAATTCATTATAAAACAACATATGTTAATAGTAGATTACATAACAAAATATATTGACTTAAATAGAAAATCTCTCTAAAATTACTTAAACAACTTTCACATATATCAAACATAAAAATCATATTTGTAGGTTATAACTATAGTTTGCATAATTGCACTCCATATCAAATTTTATGTTTGCTATGGAACTTTTGATTTGTATAATTCGCTAGATACATCCAATTTTATACAAATTGTTCAGTTTTGTATAAATTTATTTATACATTGTAATTTGTATAATAATTTGTATAATTATAAGTGTATAGGACGAAAATATATATATTTGTATATACACTTTTCTCTTGCTTTATACAAACACAAACACATTTTATACATTTGTATACCGAATGAGTAATTGTATACCGAACCAAATGACAAAAAAATGGAATGTTTGCTGCGAATTACAAATAAAATAAACTATGGCTATAACATTTAATTTGAATTAGTAGTTTGTTATTTCATACAATTTTTCCATTTTTTTGTGTGAAACCGTTATCTCCCACCTTTCTTACTTTGTTTTTTGGGCATCAAATTCTATAATTCATAAGCTCTTCGTACTTAAAAGTGTAAATTTCATATATGACATATATTATAGTACTATTTTCAAGTTATAGCAGTAGATTTAGACTTTCAAGCTATAACATTAAAAATTTCAGGTTATAACAAATTCACAAAAAAAAAAGAAATGCTTTTATTAATTGGAAAAAACTTAAAAAATTAATAAAAAGATAACGAAAATTTAAAAAAAAAACGGATTTAGAAATAATAAAGTAAAAAACTGAAATTGTGGCCTGTAATTTAATTTGAACTTATTGTACATAATTAATGATTAGCATGAAATAAGGGATCCAAACAAATTAACAATATTTTTTATCCTTAATTCACTCAAAATCAGTTAAAATAAAATAAAAAATCAAATCATACTTTTTTTCTTCAACGTTTCTCTTTCTTAATTCTTCATCCTAAAAAATTAGCAGAATCGAGTAATTGAAGGTTTTTTTCATTGAAAAAAACTGATTTAATTGAGATGGACAATTACGTATCAATTCTAATTAAACATGGTGGAAGATGGGATCCTTTGGGTTATTATTTATTATTATTTAGTGTTTGTTTTTAAATTACATTGAAATGAAAAAATAATAATATTAAACTGTAAATCGTCTCTATGTTTAAGATGATATCATTACTTGTTAACTGTTGTGAAATGTATAATATTAGTGATTTTCTGTTTTTGTGATTGTTTTGTGTATTTTTTCTTAAAGTATAAAGTAATTGTATATTTATGAATGAGTTTAATAGAATTATTGGAAAGATATTTGTAAGAAAATGTGTTTCGTAAGATGTAAAAAAAGTTATTTGGATTTTTGACGAATTGTATAACAAGTGTTTTAAGTTGGTATTAAATAATAAATTTTAGTGTGTTATATTAGATGTTGTCATTTCTGAAGTAATTAGTGAGTTAGAAATGAATTATTTGGTACAATAAGATATAGATATTTGTAATGTATGATCATTTGTTGTATGAAATGTGTATTAAGTGAGTTTGAAAGTTGTTATGAAATAAGTTGTCTTAATGATATATGTATGAAATGCATATTAAGAAAGTATGAAATTTGTATGAAAGCGTGTCCAGTAATCTGAAAAAAAAAGTTATTTGAAATTTTGACAAATTGTATGATAAGTGTTTTAAGGTTGTATTAATTTTGAAATTTTATTGTTGACATTTTTGTATAAATTTGTGTGACATTAATGAAGTATTTTCGTAAAAAAATGTATATATTTGTTGTATGAAAGTTGTATTAAAATAGTATGAAAGTGTTTGGAATGTACTATTCGAATGATATTTGTATGAAATGTTTTTTGATTGAATATAAAAAATTGTTTTGTAATGTTCTGTCTGTCTGAATAATATTTGTATTTCGAATTGTTTGTTTATAATATGAGACTAATTTGAATTTTTTTTAATGAAACAGGAAATTATGTCGATTTTCAAATGGAATGGGTTATATACGATTCTTCTAGTCTTTATAGTGGTCTAGTAAGTGCGATAACATCGCAGCTTATGATAGATACTAATATAAATGATTTAGAGATAAAATATTTAGTAAATGATAGATGTCCACTTGTTAGAATCCACAATGATGTTGGTGTGCGGGTTTTTTTAGATCAAAAGAAAGTTAATTTAGATGTCTTTACGAAAATTCCTTGTTTACGAATCGTAATTCTGTACCGTTTATTTTAATAACAAACATGTCGTCTCGGACATTTTCTTTTTCAAGAATCATCAAATGCCACAATAATTGACATTGAATCTTTATATGGTGCATGTCATAGAATAAACCAAAAGGTGTTTGTTCGAGAAATTGTTGAAATCTCTCTTGCCCAAGGAAAGTCAAAAGATCAGCAAACACATTCATGTTGGTACATGAAGACCAGTGTGTGTCTCTTCCTTTCCTATAAAATAAAATTGTGTATACTACATTAAAAGATACTTCATACATATATTATTCAGTTACAATATACAAATCATACATTACTTAATAGTTTCACATTTCATACACACTTCACACACATAAAATTCAATTTTCATTCAGCAGTAACCATAGTTCACATTTCACACACACATCATACACATATTATTCACACACACTGTATATACAATTTTCTTTCCAGCAATAACCATAGTTCACATTTCACACACATTTCATACACAATATTTATAAAAAATATGACATACATTATATTTTCATTTCACACACAATGCATACACATATTATTAACAAACACTCCATACATATATTATTCACACACACTTCATACACTTATTATTCAAAAGATTCCAGGAGTACCTATAGAATACAGAGTAGTTAAATAAGATCATAAAATTTGAAAACAAAATTAATAATTCATATGCATATCAATGTTGTATCGTAATTCATACAAAATACATCATTTTAAATTTATAATCAAATGCATAAACATTTTATTTAGATTTGGAACAAATTTCAGAAAAACAAAAATTGGAAAACAACAATAATAATAATAATGTGATATAAAAAATAACTATTTTGAGTAATGTGAAAAATAAATTAAATAAACTACTTACCTTAACCACTTTTTTGGGTTTTTTGGATTTTGGTAATTCCGGTTCATCCTTTTTTATTTTTCTTCTTGTATAAGGTTTTGATGTTTCAACGACTTCAACCTTTGTTGCTTTTTTTGTTTTCTTCTTTTTTGTTTGACCAACAAAATTCGAATCTGAGTCGGAATCAGACTCTGGAGAGGTTTCAACAAGTTTTTTCCCCTTCCTCTTCTTCCCCCTTTGATTTGCCGTAGTCGCACTTTGGTTTGCTCATTACTTTTATCTTTTTGATTCTGCGAATGAGATGGACCACCGGTGGCCGGAATTTGAACAGTTTTAGATGGAATGTTTGAGATAATATATTAAACGATGGAGCATGAGCATCATCAGTTGAAATTCCGTCAAATCTAAGGCTCTTTCGTGGAGTTTCAATTTGTTTCTTAGACATGATGATGAATAATCGTGGGTAAGATGGGTAATCGGTTTTGGTGTTGGACTAGATGAGAAAGAATGGAGAAAGTTTGATAGTGGGTTGTGGGTTAAGTCGTGTGGGAGTGAAGAAACGTGTGGGATGGTGGTGTGATCGATAATTGGAGATGGCAACGATAAACAAGGAAAGGAAATCCCTAAAATTGGGTAACTGAAAATTTTAGTTTTTTAAAAAAGGAAGTAAAATCAAATTAATTATCTATTATTAATTAATAATAAAAAACTATAAATAGATTAATAATTTATTAAATAAATATAATTTAATTTTAAAAGAAAATAAAATTTAACTGATATGTCATAGCTCGTAAATAATCTGTTATAAGCAAGAAATTTTTAAAAGTAGGTTTAAAACCCGTAATATTTATTCTTAAATGTGTATATGGGGTGATTTTTCCCATGTTCATGATTAATAGTATTTCATTACTTACTTTTCTAAATTACAACTATAACATATTTCATATAATTTCATAAATAAAATTTCAAAAAAATAAAATATATGCGAATTTTATAACTACCCTCGCAAACAATAAAATAACTCCTCTTTTTAGAACTTGTTTAAGAAAATGTGGAAAACGGACCCAAATTCTCACTCAGTTCAAAACGATCAGAAGTATCAGTAAAATCCAGAAAAGCCACCATTTTGTTACATCGCCGGTGGCCGGAATCAATGGCGTCTCCGGCGATTCAGAGATCAACCCATTTATCATCTACACCCACATCTTCTTCATCTCCCCTTCAACGTCTCTCAACTTTCAAAGACAGATCCATCAATCCCACCCCTACTGCTACCGTTACTCCTATTCCAACCTCCGGCCTTACCCCATTCACACCTACCTCTTCCCCTCTCGATTCCTTCACTTCCGATCCCATTTTCTCATCCTTCCTATCCTCCGACTTTGATTCCACGCGTTTCTCCTCCGCCGCACTTTCCTCCGGTTCTACCGCTTCACGTATCGAGAAGCTTCAAGAAGGTCTCCGTCTCCTTGACCATCAGCTTCGTCATGAAGTGCTTACACGTCATCATGATTTGCTCAATCAGCTTACTTCCTTACGTGCTGCTGAGTCTGCACTTTCGACTCTTCGTTCGTCGGTTTCGTCTCTTCAGTCATCGCTCCGTCGGGTCCGTTCTGAACTCTCTGATCCTCATCAAGTAATTGAAGCGAAGACACTTCAGCTTTCGAATCTTCATTCAGCTACTGAGCTTCTTCAGTCGACAATTAGGACTATTCGGTTGTCTAAAAAGCTCAGGGATCTCATGGATTCGACTCAAGACCCGGAGAAATTGGATCTTTCGAAAGCTGCTCAGCTACATTTTGAGATACTATCGCTTTATAATGAGTACCATTTAGCCGGGATTGACGTGGTTGATTTGGAACTCAAATGGGTTCTTGAAATTGGGCAAAAATTACGGGCTGAAGGGATGAAGGTTTTGGAAAAAGGACTTGAAGGTTTGAATCAAGCTGAAGTTGGGGCTGGGCTTCAGGTGTTTTATAATATGGGGGAGTTGAGGGGAACTGTGGATGGGTTAGTTAGTAAGTATAAGGCAATGGGAGTGAAGAGTATAACGACGGCTTTGGATATGAAATCTATATCTGTTGGTGGCGGATTTGGGCCGGGAGGGGTGCAGAGAAGTGGGACACCACAGTTTGGGGGAAGTGCAAAGGCGAAGGATGCATTGTGGCAAAGGATGAGTGGTTGTATGGACCAGTTGCATTCCATTGTGGTTGCTGTTTGGCATTTGCAGAGGGTTTTATCGAAGAAAAGAGACCCCTTTACACATGTCTTGCTGCTTGATGAGGTCATGCAGGTGTGTGAATGCATCTCTAGTTGATATGAATTGTTTCGAAGAAGTTATATTATATGATGCCTTTCTTATTTTGAGTTATTTGTAGTCTAAAATGGCATGATCACATTGAGCTTGAATATGTTGCCTTGTGTTGGAAATGTAGAATTGGTTAAACTGCAAAATAATTTTATAGCTAGATAGAAGCAACCGAAGACCTGGTTTGAGCCAGCTTAAGTGTGTTATCAGGACCTTCGCTAGAAAGGTTGGTTTACATTCAGGATATCTAAAAGAATACTCTATGGAAAACAATGAAATCATGGTAAGTACCGATAGACTGTCTTCACTACTAACCATTATGTATTTCTGTTTTTGATAATGTGGATATTCTTTTCCCGGGATCCTGATCCTGTGTTTGAGGGTGAGTAGTGAGGCAATTAAAAAGGAAAAAGTGGTCAGTATAAGTTTCGCAGAAAAAAGTACAGTATGGTGAGTACTACGTGAGGAATAGTGAAATCTGATAGCAAGTAAAGGATAGTTTCTTCTTTTGGCTACCCCCAGGGAGCCCACAAGTTTCATGACTTGTGGTAGCATTGAGCTTGAATCTGTTGCCCCAATTTGGTAACTTAGGTTTAGTTAACCTTGATTATGACTTTATACCTTGCTTTGACCTAACGGGACCAACTATGAACAATCATTTTTGGGATTGCATCAACTCTTTAGTTATTGCTTCATTTTTTGTATACGAGCTGACTCAATCTGTCTTTTGTAATTTTTGCTTTTGCATCTGTTTGCTGCTATTAATGAAATCTACTTCAACACAAAAAAAGACTAACTTTGAGCAATTTTTAAGAGAGATTAGCTGATTGTGTCCATAGGGTTAAATAAATTTTCATTCCAAAAGAAATGCAGATAACTTTATGCAGTTACATTTAAGTTTCCGAAAGCAATATTCCGTGGAAAACGATGAAATTAACTGAAATCATGCGAGGTAATGAGACGCTGTCAACTCCTCAGTATGTTGTTCTGTTCTCGTAATGTGGGTCACAACAAGTCCTTTTGTCCCCAATTATTGTCCTGTGTTTGAGGGTGACTAATTTGACAATTAAAAGGAAACCATCGGTAATATTAAGTTAATCAGTCCATAAAATGGTTTCTGCTACCAAAGGTACAGTATGGTAAATTCTTCTTTTAAAGGAACAGTGAATCTGATAGAAAGTAAGGCTAACAAATCTGCAATGAAATGAGAAGTGCATTTGATCTGATTCCATGATCCTAAAGATTTAAATCTTAGAAAAATAAAATTTTGAAATGAATTTTTGCCGAATACTCACACAAAAATCTTTCCTGCCATATAATCCCTGTGTAATATAACTCCTTCATTGAGAGTGGGGCTGTCTTACTCCAACAATTGCTGCCTTGTCCTTTCACTGTGCAAAGGTCCACTCATCTGTTAGAACAAATAATGCCCTCTACCTACTAATTTACTTAATAATAGACTAAGAAACACAGTGAACTCTTATGTCTTGCTGTGCAACAATTTTCCGTATTTCTTAGATAAACCAGTCTCCCATACTTTTCCACTCTATTTCCTCAAATTAATTGCATTGTTGAATATTGCTTGCCTACGTGGAGACGTATATGAACTCATTGAATTTTAGAAACTAGATTAGCCTTCGAACCTGTTTGGACTTCGGAACCATAGAACTTTTGACACTCGCTGCTCGTTATGAGGTTCACTTAAAATATAATCAGGTTATTTCTGGTCACATTACACTAAGATTAATCAAACCTAATTATGGTTTTCATAAACGGTTAATGCTTATGCTCAATTGCAAATATATTTCCAAGAAAGACCAACCAAAGCTAAATGAAAAATTAAAGAGAGTGGAAGTAAGTTGTAAGATGATTAATGACATGAGGAAAAGCATGTTGGTTTTTTTTTCCGTGGCTGCTTACATTACTACATATTTTTCAGGAAGGTGATCCAATATTGACAGATCGTGTTTGGGAGGCACTGGGTAAATCTTTTGCGAACCAAATGAAGTCCACTTTCAGCACATCAAGTTTTGTTAAGGAGATATTCACTCTTGGATATCCAAAACTCTTCTCTATGTTAGAAAACCTGCTTGAAAGAATTTCACGTGATACAGATGTCAAAGGAGTTCCACCAGCTCTCAGTTCAGAAGCAAAGGACCAAATGTTATCTTCCATTGAAATATTCCAGACTGCTTTCCTAACCCTCTGTCTGAGCCGTCTTTCAGAACTTGTTAATACTGTATTTCCAGTGTCCAGTCGTGGAACTGTTCCTTCAAAAGATCACATAGCAAGGATTATATCACGAATTCAAGAAGAAATAGAAGCCGTCCAGATGGATGCTCGGTTAACTCTTCTTGTCTTGCGTGAGATCAACAAAGTTCTGCTCCTGCTTTCAGAAAGAACAGAATACCAGGTACCTTTTTCAAATTTGTATGACAGAACGTTCTTGGAAGAAAACACTGTTTATAACTTTAAGAAGCAAAATTGTATATCATGAGCTCACTGTCTATCTTTATGATTTATGTGATATCTGCTGTTTGGGGTATGTTGAACATTTGAAGCAGCTGTTTTACACTTGAATAATACAATTGCTTTTATTTGTTGAGTGGAAATGAAGGAGAGTTGCCTGTTTGTATATGAAGAAACTAGAGATAGGTCTGCATTTCCAGAAATTTAGAATCAAGTTCATTCATACATCAACTAGAAAGTGCTGCAATTAGGGGAAAGGAACAGGGTTAGGTCTAGGGGTGGAAGTTCCTCTAATTTAGCACGTTGTTATTTAGATTTTAGAGTAAGACCAGTATATTATAGCTAAGCTGAACAAAAAGTATCCAAAAGAGTTTGCTGCATGTTATAAAAAAAAAGAGTTTGCATTGATGCAAGTTCCTATGGTTTACTGCAGATCATTTTCCACGAACCTCAAATGGAAGAATCTTTTTTTTTTTTTTTTTTGATGACAAGGGAAACCCACAGCCGCTACCCTTTGGGTGCGCACAGGGTAAAACCCCCGCTCTTATGCAATAGCTCGCAAACCACATAGGAGAGGTAACCCGCACTAGGCAAGCCCGGTGCGACGAGCTCGACCCAGAAGGCAAACCCCTTGCTTTCGCTGGCAAGGGGTTTCGAACTTGAGACCTCCAACATGGAAGTCCCAAGCCCAAACCTCTTTTTGTTCAAGAAACAATTTTATTTTTATCGATATGATGCATCCAGTGGATGCAATATTGCAAAGTCAGGTTGACTTCTGCTAAAAACTTTTAAGATCCAACAAAGTCAAAAAGTTGAATTACAAAGTCATCTGCAGATTTCCATTCCCATTCCACTGAGACTTTTTGGTTTAATTACCATATTCCATTTTATTAGATGGAATTTGTGTTGGTCACAGCCAAGAATCTCTCCTTATCTTGTCAACCTGCTTTACTACTTCGTTAGAAATAGGAAACAAGGACATGAAGTAATTTCTCAAACTGCCCAGCACACTATTTTTCATTGTTAGTCTGCCTCCAATTGAGAGGAATAGCTTCTTCCAAGTAGCCAATCTCCTCTCAAACCTTTCTATAAACCCTTGCCAAACATTTTATTGCTTTATGTTCTACGCCAAATAGAAGAATCTTGAACAATTTGTTCTCACCTACTAATGTTTTCATGAACTAACCTAAAAAAATAACATACTTGTCGATACAAAAAAAGAAATGAGGTTTATCCAAGGACCTACTACAATCACCCTAATTTGAATTAGTTCAGAGTACCGTTGTTTGATTTGATCACTTTCTCCTCGATTTACATTGGATGATATTACGATTCAAAATGAAATGGAAAATAATTATTTATGCTTTGCAGACAACTAGTTCATAATTATGGTGTGAACTGTGAAGAGGTAAATAAGTTTGCATAGTTATGTTTTTGAAACTTGAAAGGTATAGCGGAAGTTCTTCAAACAGGAATAATTAAAAGAAACTGATAGCTAAGCAATGCAATCACACCACCCCAAACAAGAACGGGAAAAAAGAAATTGCAAAAGCCTAAGATTTGTAAAATGCAAACACTGACCTAGAAACTTTACTTTTTTCTGTTTGTATTTCTTCTTTCCATCCCGTTCTTGCTCTTTCTCGTACTATTCTGCATTTTGATAAAACTTGTTTGTGGTCCTACATTTTCTGTTTGAAGTTTTTTTGATTCAACTCTAACTCGCCCAAAATGAAAGTATTGAAAGTTTAATAGAGGAAACCGCTAGCAACTTTGAGTAGGTTAATCTTTGTAAGCTATTATTGATACTCTAAGCTTGATGTCTGGAATGAGTAGAATTACTTTGATTACTAGAATTAGAAATGGTTGATATTCTTATTACTGAATTTTAGTAAGTACTACCTCTCTTCGTTTTCTTTTTCATTTCGGGGACAGGTGGAGTTTTGCTCTCTCTCTCTCTGTTCTTTGGCAACATATCGCAAATGATTTCCATTGATTGTTTCTGTATTCTCTCAATAGGAGGTGGATGGTAGGGTCTGGTGATATCAATAATGTTTCCATCCTCGATGAATTGCTTTTTGAGAATTCCCTTACGTCATTGTTAGAGTAATTGAGTTAATTAAAAATTTAGATAAATGAATTTATTATCTAGATGCACTTCTACTCGAATTTTATAGATTTACTTTGTCTACAGATATCTGCAGGGCCTGAGGCACGACAGATAACAGGTCCTGCAACTCCAGCACAGGTGAAGAACTTTGCGTTATGTCAGCATCTGCAAGAAATTCATACCCGCATATCATCTATGGTGGCAGGATTACCAGCTATTGCAACCGATATTCTGTCTCCCGCACTGGGATCTATCTATGGGGTTGCAGGTGATTCAGTGACACCACTATTCCAATCAATGCTTGATCGACTAGAGTCATGCATCTTGCAAATTCATGATCAAAATTTTGGTAGTCTCGGTATGGATGCTGCTATGGACAATAATGCATCACCTTATATGGAAGAGTTGCAGAAGAGTATTCTCCATTTCCGTAGTGAATTCCTGTCCAGGCTGTTGCCTTCTTCGTCAAATAGCTTGACTACAGGTTCAGAAACTATTTGTACTACCCTTGTGAGGAGCATGGCGTCTAGAGTTCTGATATTTTTCATCAGGCATGCTTCACTCGTTAGACCTCTCTCAGAATCAGGCAAGTTAAGATTAGCCAGGGACATGGCTGAGCTGGAATTGGCAGTTGGCCAAAACTTGTTTCCAGTTGAACAACTCGGTGCCCCATATCGAGCACTTAGAGCATTTCGTCCTGTTATATTCCTGGAAACATCTCAACTTGCTTCATCCCCACTTCGTCAAGATCTACCACCAAGTGTCATACTGCACCATCTTTACTCACGCGGTCCTGAAGAGCTTCAATCACCCTTGCAAAGGAATAGACTTACTCCAATGCAGTATTCACTATGGATGGATTCACAAGGCGAGGACCAGATCTGGAAAGGCATTAAAGCTACACTAGACGATTATGCTGCTAAGGTACGTTCAAGAGGAGACAAAGAATTTAGTCCTGTCTATCCTTTAATGATAGAAATTGGTTCCTCTTTATCCGGGAATCGTTAGAGGAACTTTGAGAAAAATGCACAGCTCCAATCATCTTTTCTTGGTATACGCCATTCGTTGCGATTTTTGTTTGAATAATGTTGTTATAGATTATGAACGCACAGAAGACCATATATTATGTTTCATTTCCCTTAGCCATGATTTTTATTATTATTTTTTTCCTTTCACATTTGTAGTATTGCCCTGATAGTGCACAGATTCAAAGAGATGGATTATAGTAGTCAATGCCTCATTTTGTTCAAAACATGAAGAACGTTATATTGAATTTTTTGACCATCTTAATATTTTGAGATGCTCTTACTTTGTCTTCCTTGTCATTGTTCAATAGTCATATAATGACATTACCCCCCCCCCCCCCCCAACCCACCCCCCAATGTCGACATTTTGGCCAATGCTGCTAAGATTTCGAGTTGTTATTGAAACGATCCCTCGTTGACACACAGAGGAAAACTTGCACTCTGTGTTTACACGAAGCAAATGAATATAAGACGGGTGTTCTGCACAAACTTGTGGAGTTGTGGTTGTAGGTTCGAGCCTCATGTTGGGTGATGTTCTATTTTGGACCCTTTTCTATTTGTTGCTATTGCCTCTTTTTTAGAGTTCGTTTAGCCGAGGGTCTATTGGAAGCAACCCCTACCTTCTCAAAGGTAAGACCCTCAAATTATCATTTCATATCAAAATTTACCCTTTCACAAATGTCATTTTTTAAATGGAAACTATAGAATAGAGTAATGTCTGCATTAACTTTCCTAATAATACTACAAAAATACACAAAATAACAATCCATGCAACTACAATTCATGGAATATTCTTAATAAATTAGAGTAGAATGGACTCTAATTTTCACATCTTAGTGTAGAATGCAACATTTTCTCAGCATCTTTAATCACTAATCTTCTTATGTTAATTAAATATATTAACAAAAGATTATTTTTTTCATATTAATACCTCTTAGGATCCCTTCGATAAGAGCAAAGAAAGTGAAATCCAAAAAATAATTTCCTGGTTCTTAGTTCTAAGAAAGAAACATGGGAAAAAGAGCCATAAAAAATCAAGTTTCCCAATTATCACAAAATAGGATCAACAAGAACAATAATATACCATGTAACAAGAAACAACTCAACAACTTAATAAAGTTATTGAAACCCAAAGTTTATATCACAAGTTGTTCAAATTTCAAGAATCTTGTTCAACAACTCACAGGCAATGGATCAATTAACCCAATCTCATCCCTTCATCACGAGTCTACTGTAAAAGAATCTGAGCATCCAACTCAAAACCTTCAAGAGATGGGTGAAGTGAATCAGGATATTATGAACCCCTATGAAAATACTGAAAAGATCAATGATGTGCAAACGTATTCTCAAATAGAGTCGTATCAAAAAAGTATCAACCAAGATTCATATGAAGGAAGTATGTTGTTACCCTTTACGATACATGAATCTGTGGGACAAGTTCATTCTATGACAGAATCACACCAACAAAGTATCAATCAAGAATTATCCGTAAATTCATTGGAAGGAGGAATGCCGTCATCTTTTACTACACATGAGTCTTTCATTCAAAAATCATCGATTACCGATTCCCAAGAAATGATCTTTTCAGAAGAATATAAGAAAATGGAGTCATGGCTATTGGAGATAGACACATGTTCTAATTATCATCATTATGAAGGGAATGTGCCATTGGTTCAAGAACAGGTCTCTCTTTGTGATAATTATGATTTTTATTTGTCCAATATTTTGCATTGTTAAGTTTACAAAGGGGATCTAAAATTTAGACGTGAATTTTGAATTAAAAGTTAATTCTGTATATATATTCAATTTGTCGATAAACTCAAAAACTTATTATTAGATTTGCCATTGAAATTTCAGATCTCTTATGTATAAAATTGTACATGGTTCTTGTTATTTTTTATTACCTTTTTATTTTATTTTATGTCTCTTATAAATAAACAGAGAAATTGTAATAAATTGTAGAGTGATTAAGATTGATGTATATTTTTTTTATTTAGAAGTGCAATTATTCTATTGTCACTATTTTTTCTTTAAGTCTTTTTTTTTTGGTTGGTAATAAAGATATTTATTAAAACATACTAAGAGTCACTAATAAAAATTAGAGATCTTGGTTCGAGTCTGAAATTTGTTTCAATAAAGAGTACTGTACTTTTAAAGCTTGACTTTCCATCGTGAATTCGAATTAAAGGGCTCTTGTGGAACACAACGTATGAAACTAAATGAACAAAAAAGGTTAGATCTGTATACAAGGCATGAGTTTGAACAAAAATTTTGTAGAGAGACTTTTCTCAACTGGACTTCATTTTTCAAGAATTCCATTTAGTGGGTCAAAAGTTCAAGAATACCCTTAAACGATACGAAGGTCATTATTGCAAATCATGATGCAATTGGATGTAGGAATTTTATAAATATCTCTGCAAAAGTATATCAATAAGGACTCTGTGGCCCAATGGATAAGGCGCTGGTCTACGAAACCAGAGATTCTGGGTTCGATCCCCAGCAGAGTCGATTAGTTATTTAAGTTTTTTTTGCAACTAATTTTTATGAGTTTATTTTTTATAGATAATTTGAAAATATAAAGTATATGTACCTTAATTTCAGCACAAAATCTCACATGAGATAATATAGTGGTTGGTTGCATAAAAAAAATAAAAATAATCGCTCGATTGGAACTGTTAAATAATACATACTTTGAGTTACGCAATGTTATCCCACAAGTGAATCGAAAGGGGTAGGAATGTACGCAAATCTTATCTCTCCTCAAAAGAGAAACTAAGATTAAAAACAAATACAACATATAGTAATACACATTGAAAAATGCAATAACTGAATAAGACTAGTAAAAAAAAAGAATATGGAATAAGAATACATGTATTAACAAAAAAAAATGCACTTTTAAAGCAAGTAAAATTCATGTATAACAATCTCATCATTATTAATCACATACATTAAGATTAATCTATATGTATGAACAGAAAAAAATGAACACAAACATGGTGAGTTGGAAAATAATGGGAGTGAGAGTATGAGTTATTTATGGGATGACTATATATGTTGCTCGAACATGTCAGATCCTTTAAAAATGCACTACTTTTGGAAGATCCAACCGTGCACCAGACGACATATCTGAAAGCAGTTTCGTTCATTGGCCGCGCTTTGGTTGTGTTAGTTGAGAAGCAGGAAGAGTGTACAAAGATTTCAATTGCTGACTAATAAGCTTGCTGTTACTAATAGCCATTTGTAGTTCCAAATTATCAGACCACCATTGCTCCAATCCATGTGCCTCAAGAAACTTTTGTTTCCCTTTGTTAGATGACAAAAAAAGCTTTGCAGCAGCAACAACTTGTTGTCCATTTCTTGGTTTTGCATTCTCTTTATCACCCTCATCATGCTTGTCTTGTAATCCATTATTTTCTTGATCAGTATAAGAACAACATATGTAATCACTATTGTTAATGTACAAATGTGGCACCCATGGCTTTAGGCCTATCTGAAAAGATTGAGTATCATTTCCCTCATAGCTCGTTTGAGTGTCAGGATTCAAAGGGAGCATTGATTTTAGCCTTTTCCATGCGACTCCAGCTTTTTCGCCTATGTTTCTTAAGCTCATAGCAAGTGAAACTGAGGGTGGATTGAACAAATGTGCTTCTACATGTATGCCTTCTTTCGCTAACACTTTTCCTACTTGGAGAGCAAATCCAGCTCCGAGTGAATGGCCTACGATACACACATTGTTGCTGCCATATTTGGTGGCAATTGATTTTAGAGCATTGAGGGCTGCATTGAATCTAACAGAACCTTTCAGACTTTCCCAAGCTAAGAAACGGAGATCATCTTCGATATCCCTTCTCATTGTTTGGCTTTTGAGAAGCGTTCCTCTTAAGGCCACGACAGCTCTTGGTGCACCACTCGGTCTGATGAGCACGAAATCGGACAATGCTGCAGATCTATCCCATTCTAAGATTGCACCGAAAATGGATCCATCTCTTTCGTCATTTAAGGTCTTGACTAACTTGTACTTGAAAGGTATCAACCATTTTGGAGCTAGTGTATTTTCTTCTGTCCTGTTTTCTTGTCTGTCGATCTCGAGAAGGTAAACTGCTTGAACAAAGCAGGCCATTACTGTTCTTTTGTAGTTAGCATCCTTCCTGTTCATTCGAAATACTTATATTGCATCAGAATCAAGTTGTCTAACAACTTTTACAGAAGAAAAGAACCATAACTTGATAATTAATGTTAGATCAGCAGCACTATGAGAAAGCTTTTGTTGCTCGGACTCTTCAAAAATGCCGCTTGGTGCGTGTCTGGTCCTCCAAAAGTAGTACATTTTTGGGGAGTCCGAGCAACATAGAGGAAACTAGTTTGTTGACATCTAGATAGTAGTTGCACATTGAGAATGAAAAAGGAAAACTCATAAAAATTTAAGGACAAAACCACAAGATATTAAGTGAATGAGTGAACTAACATAGCTATCAAGATACCAGTCAATTACTAAAATAAACAAAAAGCCAGACATCAAGAGTCACATAGAATGATAATTCATCTTTTAGCAGTAGATTTTACTAATAACAAGTCAAGAGGATGTGGTAGATTCACCCAAAACAAACCTATTTCATACTCGGTATCAGTGCTAGTGCGAGGTAGAGGGTACCTCGTGGAACTAGTGCAGGTGCACAGAATCAGCTATGAGAAACCTAAGCCAAGAATCAGCTATAGTATCACCTATGTAGATCTTTTTCTTCCATAATTGCCCTATTTTTTGCGAGATATGCATGAATGTTAAAAGATTGTAGGTCGGAAGATATAGTTGGCAGCTAGAAGAACAAAAGAGGATTGTTCACTATCTATAATTTCAGAGATAACAGGAGAGTTGGTTGAGCATTGAGCAACACCAACTAAATTCAAGTAGGAAGCCTAAGCCAAGAACATAAATATGTAATGGAGAGATCCCGGTCCTAAGAATAAGAATTAGCTGCAGCTAGAATTCTACTAAATCACATAATGAACCAAATCAAGCCTAAAAAACAATGAAATCTGGAATCAAGAAAAGGAAATTCCCAAGCACTGAAAACAAGCACACTCTATGTATCAGCTACTGAACTAAAGCTTGAAACTTCGAAGCCAAGTTGCTAAGTTCTCTACATTTCTACTAGCATATAAAACTTTAAGGAGACCAAAAGACTTCTAATGAAACAAAACATACTAACATGATTAAAACTTAATCTCAGCTAATAGTATTGCCCTACATAGATCCTTTTCTTCCATTATGCCTTATGTTTTGCTAGGTATGCATGAATTTCAAGAGATTGTAGGTCGGAAGAGATAGTTGTTGCCAGCTATAAGAACAAAAGAAGATTGCTCCCTTTCTATAAATACAAAAATTAAAGGAAAGTTTGCTGAGCTACACCAACTGAATCCAATTGGAAGCCTAAGCCATGAACATAAATATGTAATGTGAGACGGGGTCATTGTGTCTAACTCAACCCCAAAACGTAGCTCAAGAGTCTGAGGTTGTCCAAGTTTCCAGGACCATGTAAAGAGACAAATTTGCCTCCTGTCCATTGACGTGGGATAATTCAACACTCATCAGGATTCAGGTGAAACAAGAATTGGGTAGATGATACCAGGATAAAATTAAAAAAAATGAAACTTGGGCCTAATTCAACCTCAAAATGTGAGAATTTCCAAAGATCATAGACAAATTTGCCTCCCACCCACCTATGAGGGATAATCCAACAGAAGAAAAAATCAGCTTCAGCTAGATTTCAGTTAAACCACAAGATGAACAAATTCAATTCAACTAAACCATGAAATCTGAAATCAAGAGAAGTGTCTCAAATTCACTGTTCAAAATCCCCAAACACTGAATAACAAGCACACTCTATATCATCAGCTACATGACTAATAAAAGCTTGAAACTTTGAAAGCAAATTGAGAAGAAAAACACAAACCAACTAGAATAAGCTTTAGCAAAATTCCAGTTAAACCACAAGACGAACCAAATCAAACCTAAAAAAACAATGAACTTTGAAATCAAAAAAGGCCTTAATATTAAATCCACTGTTCAAAATCCCCCAAACACTGAAACAAGCACACTCTATATCATCAGCTACAAGACTAAAGCTTGAAACTTTGAACAAAATGAAAAAAAGAACACTAACCAACTAGAATTAGCTTTAGCTAGATTTCAGTTAAACCTTAAAAAGTGAAATCTGAAACAACCACACTCTATGGATCAGCTACAGCCTACAAGACTGGTAAAGCTTGAAACTTTGAACAAATTGAACAGATATAGAACACTAACCAACTAGAATTAGCTTTAGCTAGATTTCAGTTAAACCTTAAAAAAACTGAAATCTGAATTTAAGAAAAGGATCTTAAACCCACTGTTCAAAATCCCCATACACTGAAAAAAAAGCACACTCTACATCATGAGCTACAAGACTAATAAAAGCTTGAAACTTGAACAGCAAATCAAGAAAATAAGCACAGAGAGAAAGAAAAGAACACTAACCAACTTGAATTAATAAGATCTCTCCAATTTGGAGAAGCAACATTTCTTGGTCCAGAAACATGAAATGCATAAGGATGAGATTCAACAACACCCTTTTCAAAATTCTCCATTTTTATCTCTCCTTCAGCTGCCACCATTTCATTTCTCATCTCCTCTGCACCCCTTTTCGACATCTATGAACAACCCACTTCTCCAATCGAACAAGGTCACGAGTCTAAGGCGCAAAAAAACCAATCTTTAAATCAATGACACCCTTTTCACCTGAAGAATGTGTGACAGCAGAACAAAAAAATGGAGGAAAAGGGAAGTTTTGAGGATGAAGAAGTGATTTGTGTTTAACTTTTTTTTGATTTGTTAAGATTTGTACATGGAATTGGATTTGATAAAATTAATGAGGAATTTAATTCTTGGATTGAAATTTAATTGATTAGTACATAGTAATCATTATTAGTGGCATATTTTGAATTATGTTTGGCTTTTGTTTTAGAGGATTCTCTAACGGTCACATTTCTTTTTTTTTTCTCTTTTATATATATATATATATATATATATATATTTATATTTCTATACATAATAAGCCACAATGCAAATATATATAAAGTATTTAGTTACATTGTAACTATCTTATTAGCTTTCAACCAAAAGCTAACAAGATTTTTAGTTACATATTTAAATAATAAATATGTCATTGTATGAGCTATTTATTACTCATTCCTTTTGAATTTATTAATCTGATTTTGATTTGACACATAGTTTACGAAAGTAAATTAGATTTTGAGAAAAAACATTAAGTGATACATACTTGAAGTTGTCCCAGATTTTCAAAAAGACACCTTAACTTTGTGTGCGTCCTATTACCCCACAAAACATTCAAAATCACAATAAATACACATTTTTTACACAATATTTCCACTTTGGACAAAAATATCCTTCGAATGTGCAATTTCTTAAAAACAAAAAGTCGGACCCATTATTGATGTATTGAAGGATGCTTTGGTAATTTTCCATGATGAATTCGTTTTGTTAGTTTCTTTTAAATTTATTTTACTATACTAAATAATTGTATAAAATATTATGAATCACGACAATTAATTACTTAAATATTTAAAAGATATAAAAATATATAAAAAGATATGATTGACTCTTCAAATTTTACCGGTGACACATAAATTGGGACAAATGAAATAATATATATTATTTGAAAATTTCTTAGAAAGTACTATAAATTACAGTAATTAACAGCTAGAAATATTTCAAAGACAAAAAAAATTGATTGAATCTCAAAATTTTTTTAGTACCACATAAATTGAGAAAGAAGAAATAACCTTTATTATTTCAAAATTGCGTAAAATATATTACAAATCATACAACAATAATTAGCAATTTAGAATGTTAAAAGACATAAATTTTTTTTACCATAGTTAACAATAATTAAAAATTTAAACTATTTTAAATTAATATTAAAGTTTGATTAACTCTTTAATTTTGTCTTTGTCACATAAATTGAAACAAAAAATGATACATATTGGGCCCGTGCTAGCACGGGCTCCGATGTCTAGTGTGTGTATATATATATATATATATATATTGTATTTGTATTTGAGCTTGATTAATTTCAATTCGTGTTGTATTGGAGCTTGATTTATTTAGATTCGTGTCGTGTACATCCCATTTGAAAAAAAAGAGAACTTATCTCGTTAGTTTAGGAGCTAATTACTTAGGTGTAATGTAGTTTGCAATATTACGTATCTAATAAGATTTTGGTGCCTCCAGATACATATATCCCGGATATATGAGATCAAATTTAGGCGTAATTTATTCTAGATACATTGTATCTAAGTGGATTCGCATGTATTTTAGATACATAACAAATCTCGCTCGCCTCCCTCGTCTCTCTCCCATCTCGCTCGCCACTCTCTTATATATATTGTATCTCAAATACATGTGAATCACTGCAGATATACACATACATGTATCTAGTGTGATTCACATGTATCTGAGATACAAACGAATCTTGCTTTTCCCTCTCTCCCTATTTTTGTGTATTTGGTAACAAAAATACATATATCTAAGTGTTAATAATACTGTTTACACTATTATTCACGGTTTCAACCTACAGTCTTGCAGAGCAAAAATATGATCAGGCAATTATACTTTCACGTGTTTCTGCCCCAACAGTTCGTTTTTTAGATTGCTAGCTTAGTTTTCCTTTGTTATCGTTGTCTCTATTTATTTTTTTTTAAAAAAATAGCAAGTTGGGCCATGACTTTGCTATTGGATATGTAATGGATACTCTTTGGTGATTTAATACAATCTTGTTGGTTATCAAAAAAATAATATTGTTTATAAAATTTTCTCTTGATTTAACGAGTAACCAATTATTATAATTTATAAGTTCAGTAATTTGAAAGTTGAATAAACATTTTATAATTTTTCCTTGTTTATAAATACGGAGAAATTTATTTAGTAAAAATTGGGATAAAACTCTCTAAAAACTAAAGAATAAAATATAATTAAAAAAAGGGACTATAACTACTGAAATGTAAAAAAATAAAATAAATTTTGGAAAAATGCTAAAGTGAAATCGAACACATATGAGCTCAATAAATGTCTACTTGTATTCATCCTAAATCATCGAGTAAAATCACTTTATCTTTATTGCTAGGAGTGTCAATATAAAAAATATATACACATATATACATATCTAAGGATATATATTCGGTTGTTAGTGGTGAAGCGTTCGGGCTAGTATATTCATAATGAATAGATTGAAAATATTGACTTTTAGTCATTTTTGCAGTTTATTTTAATCCTAATGTTAATTCAATACTTCTTTCATATCAATTGGTTTGCTTTACTTCTTCTTTTAGCTTTTTTCTTGTTTGATAACTCTTTAATTCTAATTTTCCACGTGACATATTTTAGTACATTCTACATATAGTTTGGTTATTACACATCATTTCATAATGCATGTATCATATTATTTTGATGAATAAAACATGAGAATTCATTGCAATATTTTTTATCGTTACACAATATTAACTTGAAGAATAAACCTATAAGAAAAGCAAGCTATATACATGGTAAAATTATAATACATGTTCTTGTGTTATATTGTATTATGTTGTTTGTAAAACTGATTTTCTCCTAGGGATATGTTCTTATATGTTAGTCACCATTCTATCACTAAAAATATAATTTCTTGTTTAATTTACATGTGTTAAACATGTCGTCAACGTATATCATTAGTTCGGATTAAACACTAAATGAAATGCATAGTTACATTACTTAGGAAAACGAATGGAATTAGATATCCTAGTTATCTTAGTTGTAACCGATAGTTAATAGGTGATGTGAATATCAATTCGTCTAGTGCTTTAGCAATTGTGTTATATATCCCGCTATTTTTATGTGTTGCTCTGAATAGAACATAAAACAATATTAATAAAAAAGATAGTAAAGGGTTTTGCTTGTTATAAATATAACGAAGATAAAAATATTAGCTGATTTTTTTATTTATGTCCTAATCCTAGTAGACACGTAACTTTATTTCGTGAAATTAATTGAAGTACACCATACAAAATCTTTGATAGAGCCAATTAATTACCTTCAAAATATTATTATTATCATTGTCGTTTTCTCCAGCTCACCTACGAAATTTTTCAACTTTGTCTCTCTCTCTCTCTCTATATATTCAGATCTCCGTTCATCCACTGTCGTATCGGCAAATCATGTCGTACGCATATCTCTTCAAGTATATTATCATCGGCGATACTGGTAATTTTTTATTCCTTTTGCTTAGCTACGAGTTTGAACTTTTTTTGTTATAACTTCACATGATTTTGAATCTGATTAATAAGTTTTTGCTGTAAATTTTGTTATCGGCGGTGCTAATTTGATTGATTTTCAGCTTTTTCTGCATTTTGATAAATAAGTTGAGTAAATTTAGTGTTTTTGTACTTGTGAGTACTGATTATGGATCTGGAAAAAATATATTTTCTGAGGTTCTATTGTAGTGATTCTTACTGAAATATATGGCAGTTGAGTATATGCTGATATCTAAGCTTGCGGTTAGCAGAGATTTCGAGGATAGTTTTTGAAAATTTATAGACAAATATCTGTTTGGCCATGAATTTGGTAAGTGTTTGAAAATTTGATGTTCAAATATTAGTTTGACACTGAAATTTGATCAGATTATGAAAATCTGAGCTTCAAATATTTTCAAGTGTTTTTGGGACTTCCATCCACAAAGTAAAATGCATGTCCAAGCACAACTTCAGATTCCAAAAATTAGAACTTCAAAAACTCAATTTTTCATGTTTCAAGTTTCAACTTCAAAATATATGGCCAAACATGAGCTAAGTACTTATTGTAGCGATTCTTCTGAAAGATATGGAATTGAGTATATGCTGCTATCTAAGAACTAGCATGTTAATCGGCTTCTATTTTTTTTTGCTGGATTTCATAAATTCGTAGACATACAATCGATTTTGCATGATTTTGTATCTGATTTATAGTTTTTGCTGTAATTTGGTAACTTGGCAATGCTTATTTAATTGGTTTTCATTTTTTCTGCATTTTGCATCTAATTAATAGGTTCTCTTGATAACTTGGTTTTGTGTATTTGGTAAGCTAGAGTTTCGGCATTTTAGCCTGATTTTTATCAATATTGACTGTTTACTTGTCATTGAGGTCTATTTAGTTTGTAGCTTGTTTGTAGAAAGTCTTTAGAGTAGGGCAAGAAATAGCATCTACAAAGTTGTCAATCTGCAGTTGCCCAGTTTAATTTTACGGTTTCCACTGTTAAAATAGCAGTGTTATCAAAAGTGAAAAGAGCAGAAAAGCTCTAACATCCGTTCGGACTTTAAGCGCAAAGAAAAATAAACCTTTGGTTTTACTGAAAAAAGTGCAAATGGAGAGAAAATACAAATATATATGTTTAATCCATGATCCATGTTACCAAAAACAACAACCGAGAAAAGCTCTAAGGTCCGTTGGGGCATTAAGCCAAGTGTAGCGTTCAACATATTTTGGGCCTTGTTTCATGGCTTAAGCACGCCTTTGACAACACTGTCCAAGACTAATAATTATTAGCATGAACAACAAATATATAGTCAAAGAATTGGAAAAAGAATAACGTGTTTAGTATTGCCCCTTCAAGAAATACTCATTGGCAAGAAAAATATGTCTTAGAGCCTTGATGACAGCACTGAAGCACACAATAAGCGA